AGAACTGAGATCAATTTGTTGACGTTGACTGAATAAAACATCAAAGTACTGCACAGCACCATGTAATATGTAACAGTTATGTCATAGTATACCCACAGCATAAAATTAATTCAGTTTTCTATTACGCTTTTCCTTTTTATTTGGCACTAACCCTTCTCATGCTTCCATTCAATATTATAAATATCCTACACTTTTATAAGCTTTCCTTCACAAACAAACTAATAAATAAATACAATTTATGATATAAATAGCTCCTCCTCATTACTTGTGACCACTGACATATCAAGACGGAACAGATTAAACTGCTGCAAAACATATATACATTGGTAATGATGGGACCAAAGCATTAAAAACAAAGTAAAAAAATATATCAAAGGTCACCAGCACTTAAGCCAGTTTTTGATCACAGTTCAGCAAACATCCCAGTCACACATGAGAATCATTATTTCAAACCTGCCATTAACATGTACAATCAGACAAACCAAAAGACAAGAACACTTTGTACATACAGAGAAAACACAACTGCCATGCAGTAAGAAAGTCCCCGCCACTCTTCTGCAATATTCTCATGGTAGTGGAGGTAGCATTAGAAAGAGACTATCTTATATTTACTAAAAAAAAATTTGTATAACAGAAATGCCATTTAGACTGAAAGATGACAGAAAAACATGAAGAAAAATTTTCAATTAAGTTAAATAAGGGATATTTTTGCCATACATTTCCTTTCATGGTCAATATATCTCAAATAGTTTATTTTTGCACCAAAAAATAATTTGTTGGAAAAGAGGATAAAGAAACTTGTTACAGAAATATTCAGTAAAGTTGAGCCATTGATCAGTGTGCCATCTACAAATATGTACCTACAAAGTTTAATAAAACACTGAAGCTCTGAGTTTTGTAAATATATTATAATAATTGTATAGATTTTTTTTGTATAAAACGATCTAGTAACCATCATTTAATAACCATTTTCATTTATAATCCCTTACATAGGCACTTATGATCAGTATTACAAATAGCAACTTACAATGCTTTCATTCAAGACTTTTCCATGTACAACAAATTTATTTATCATGAGATTTTTTTGGTATGTACTAAATAAAGATTAAAATAAAAAAGACAACAAAAAAAATGGATAAAGATGGGCAGTGAATCTATTTTCTTGAAAAAAAGTATATATTGAATATCCCTACATAAAAGTCTGGACAAAAAAGAAATTCAAATCCAGGAGAAAATTGAATTCAGTCAAGGTCATGATAGCAATGCTGAGCATATTCAAGGTCCATGGTATCTCTTGAGGCAGCTATTAATTCATCATCCTCTTCTTGTGGCTGGATGATGCCCAGGCGCCATCACTCACACTTGGGATGGCTTGCACGTTCCTGTCACAAAAAAGATCATATGATTAACAAATAAAAAATGTATATAAATATATATGGGTGTGGGTGTGAGCAGCATATGTGAGCATGGGCATGTATGTGTGATTTGTATGTATGTATGTATTATGACATATGGTAAGTTAAACAAGTTAAATCTAATCTTTTGTGTCATGGTTTTGTGATTCCCAAAGCTATTATATGAGACCTCTAAAAAAAAAAAAATAAATAAATAAATTTATTAATAAATGAATAGATAAATTAATAATAAATATCTCTGCTCACATTTCATATTTGAGTTAATGCTTACTTGAAGTCAGACTTGACTTACTGGTTCAGAGATGATACACTTATCACAAGGTCTCTGGCAGGTCTCTGACTGTATGACTCTGTAAACACTTTATCCAGTTTCTCAATTAAAAGAACTGCATTCTCTTGGGTAAAACACACATGGGAGGCATGATCATCAGGACATTTCTGTGATCTCCTTCATTAGCAAGTATGATATTTTCTTGCTTCATTCTGAAATGAAAAATATTTAATGATAACTGCAAAGATTACATAAAATCTGATGGTTTTACATTCTTCAACAATAAATAATACAGAGGAAGAAATAAATTAAGCACTGAAATGAATTTCTACAACGACGGAAGAGTACATAGGAACAAATCAATTCAGCACTGCTATAAATTTCCAGGTACGGAAATGGAAGTAAACTTGAAATAAGGCCAAAAATACACACCTATTCACAATTTGTTCTGCAATTTCTTTTGCAGGCTTCTTGCTCTGTTTATTCCAAACCACTTCCACTCCAAACAACAGACCTCTTCCTCGGACATCACCTGAATACACAAATATAAAAATTTATACTGGCCATAGGTAAAATATACTTTATGAACAGATGGAGTACACTGGTGGAACTAATATGAGACTTCTTAGCACAGGCTCCCATTTTTCTATTATTATCTATATTACATTTTTCAATCTGCAAATAGAGTTAAAAAGTAATTATACATCATATCAATTTGATGGATCAATCAAAGAGAGAGAGAGAGAGAGAGAGAGAGAGAGAGAGAGAGA